TAAGCCTTTCGATTTAGCGCTATTTTTTATTCATTGGGGGCACTAACCATAATTACCATTCCTAAAATTATTTCAGGTTAGTTACATGACTTTTGTTGAAGAATTGAAAATCTGCAGAAACGTCAGTAGTTTCTAATTTAAGAAATTTGACGGTAATTTGTCTGAATAGCCAGATAATTTATTCTGTTTATATGTATTCCCTTCCATTCGGCATAAACGATGAGCAAAACGGACAAAATCATTTACACTGGCATTTTACAATGGAACAATTTGGTTACATATTCACTAGCACGGTTATGCTCGACTTGTCTTGCCAAAATATTCCTAAAAAATAAATTTCAATTCAATTATTTGGCCATCGTTTTTATTGGTTTGTTCATATATTTATGTGTATTTTGCAAAAATGGGGAAAAAACTCAGCTTTTATTCCAACCAAAATCGATAGCATTGGATACCCGTGGTGTAAGAAAACAGGCGACATTTTCCGATAAATCAAATTGTTGTTGTAGTACAGTGTACGTTATAATGCACTATTCATTAATTTAATGATGATTTTAGAAAACATCGTTGACAAGACATTGATATAAGAAGGTATGGATGGCGTCACTACTTACCTAAGGATGCAGTACAGTTCTGTAAATCATCTTATTTTCATTGCATCTAACAAAATATTTCTTGTCTATATAGATTTCAATCTTACGAGCCTTTGAAAAAATAATATTGGCGTAAACTTTTTCAGTAATTTTTTTTCCCTCATATTTCTGTACAGAATCAATTTCAGTTGCATATTACAAGATATTCTCATAATTGATCTAGGTTCATACGAAAATGTTTTCGTTTTAGGACTAAATGAACTCATTTGGCTTCAGTTTCTGTGCTCACAATAGTCAAAGTATAGTGATGACGCAAAACAGTGTTTAATTAGTAACGATGACAAAATTAATGGAGGCTAATTAGTTCGTTCACTTTGAAGATTCGTTCTGTGAACGGAACGGTGTTAATTGTGTGGGAAAATAACCGGCAGGAAGTTCTCCAAGGAAATATTTAACTTATTGGATAAACTGTTATTTGTGGGGAAATTAGCATCGGTGTTTTCTGTGAATTTCATTGATAAAAGATTACGTATTCGTGAATCGGTACTTACTACAAAAGAACAATTTTTGAACTTTCGTGATTCACTAAACTTGGAATGAATTGTTTTGCATGTAAGTTTGAAATCTCGAATTTACCACGAAATACTGGGGACAAAGCTGTTGTTAATATAACATGTACAATCTGAAATGTTTACTAAAACTTTCGCTTACTTATTACGTAATGCTAAATTTTGTCACTTTCTGAGGGCAAATGCAATTCGAATCCTGGATCGAATACGATTACCATAAATTCTCAGTTTGTCAATTTTCATTTTTTGGAAACCTTTTAGTTTTTTTATGTGATCATTTTGGGGACACTTATCCGCTACCCATACACATTCAATTTTGAATGGATGTTCTGGGAAAGCGGATAGTTTGAACGCATTGTGAGGTAATTTCTTTACATGTTGAATTCATATATCAACCGTCTAATAAAGAAGAAATTTAATCCTTTTCGAAGATTTGAGTGAATAAAAACCATTTGCATTGGGTTCAAAATCCTGGAATTCCCCCACAAAAAGGGACAATACTTGCAGCAGATGTGCTACATCTTTATCAGCCTGGGTACTCTCGTACCAAATCAGATTCACGCATTGTATAGATTGAATAGAAGAACCATACATTACACATGAAATTTATATATGGTCCAGATATTTAATTCATGCGCACGGCAGCGCTTTTTTGTGTTATAGGTAAACTATACATAATTAAACAAATCGTTCTCGTGTTGGTTGAAGGAAACAAATACATAAATATCTGATGATGACGTATTAAGTTTACTTTTATCGTTTGGCGAACATTACGTCGATAAATGTATGAACTGAAAAAGGTTATATTAAAATGATCAATGACATCGCGCTTAAGTTCATCTCGTCGATCAAACTTTCCACGAAAACAATAACAGAGGCCAATTTAATGTACTTTTAATAAAATGAGTTCAAGTAAATAGTAAAAGTAAACTGAAAATAAATAAACTATAGATGAGATATAATGTAGCTCCTAAACAAAACATGTTGTAAATTTTCATGTCACGAAGATTTAGTGGTAAACATATATAAATAAAGGTTAAAAGTGATTTATATTTATCCGCGGGAATGAATACTGATATAAAAATGTCTTACTTACAATTGACTTAAACTAGAAAGGCATATGAGTCATACTTCGATCGTATCTCAAAGATAGGTGGCGGGCGATCCATATCTGAATTAAATATTATATATCACATAAATCCCAGATTGCAATGTTCAAAACTCTTGGTCTCAATGGGTGCCCTGATGGATAAATTATATACTTATAAATTAAAAATTCCTATATGATTGTTTATGTCTATGGGAATTCATCTGAAATAAGAGACTTCCAGAGCAATTCGAAAATCTGGACGATCTACTACCGACTTCCATGTCTTCGTGTAAACTGAGTCCGGGAAATCTATTGGATAACAGTAGAATGCTTATAACAACTCCACCAACTTAAAGTTTCCAATTAATTTGTTTAATTTTTGTGTTTCAGCACAACATACTATTGTTCTGGAATTCATGACATCGTGGAGTTTAATAGGCTGGCATGCAATGACACATGGTCTAGCAACATGTCTTAATTTTATGTCTTATCATTATCAGAAAAGATTTAGTTCCACCTTTGACGACCGTCCTCGAGTTCAATTGATCGCCTGCCCTAAAACGTCGTATGCGGGATAAACGGCTGGACACCACTTTCAATGCCCCTATTATTTGCATTTCGACAATTCACTAAAAATGTGACACGTTGCTCTCATATTATTCGCATTTGATCAATGCTTAGCTTGTAATTGTGGAGTAAAATAAAATACCTTGTAAAATATCTTAAAATTGCTTCATGACTTCACGATATTAAACTATCAAAGCTGTTTTTTTAGATAATGGTCAGAATCTGTTTTGCAAATGCAGAAAATTTTTAAATTTTTTGAGAAGATGATTATGAAAAAATACTTTTATAATTTTGATCGAACACGTGGGGCTTTCCTTTGATGTAGAAAACAGACTTAAAACATGCACTCCGTATCTGTCATTTTATTAGCTCAATAATAATTTGAGTTCAAAGCGCTGAATGAGTTCAAACGAGAGTTCAAACTCTAGCGAATATGATAAATTTAGATTGATTCGAACGTCACGCGTATTTTTTAAAAGCGAAAGTTGAATACATCAGACCGTAATTCGCCGTATGGCTCTACTGTCCACCCCATCACCAGGATGATAAATATTTGAAACGAAATGTTATTCTAAACTTCTTGTATTGTCCATTTTGCTGATATATTGCTTTTGTGGTTTGTGATGTACAGCATTTATGTTTAAATTTGATAACGCACGCTTTTGAAATACCTATTTTATGTTCTGATGCTCCACGTCAGAGAATATGATACGAGAAATATGATATAGTTGTCACTCCAAAATATTTGAAATTCTCCGAGCGAGTGGGTGAACAATAAAGGACGAGCACATTTAACCTATATTCATTTCTGTTAGGCATGACTTAGTAAGAATTGGTACACCAGAAATACTGCTTCATGGGTCAAAGGTTTGCGCCTATTTTAAATATATACTTTGTTAAAATAGGCTGTCGACGTTTTAGTATTCGCCAGTATTCAGTAACTCCTACAATAACTACAACGACAATTTTTATTCGATAAATAGGAATCCTTAGAATATATTAATCAAAGTGAGAAGCATAAATAGTCATTAGGATTCTGAAGTTAACTAAGTGGTCGGAAATAAAGATAGGTTGACGCGCGTATAAAAGTCACATTTCAAATAAAAGTCACACTCTCTATAAATTAAATGCTTTCTTTTTTGACTATTTTTTTCACATCAAAATTACATTTCCACGAAGTTGACTGCGTGGATGGATGGATGTCAAAATGTGGAGCTTTTTTGTTATCCTATACGTCAATTTTCAATTTTTTTTGTATCCATAATAATATGGAAATTTGATGAACTAAACTGTATGCCCGTTTAAGCGTGGCCAAGATGAGGACCAAATGTATTAATCCCACGCGACAAATATTGATTTTGACGCAAATTCTGTGAACAGATTACTGTTGAAATCTCTGTAATATTACAAAATTTCAGAGTAATATTCATTTTGATCTTCACAGCCATTAACTTTGATAATTGTTTAGTAAGCTTATAGAAATACATTAGATTCATTAGTCCCCGCCGTTATATTCTATTGTGTTATCTGTTTCAGGATTCTTATGACATGAAATTTGGAATTCGTTTCTATTTGACGTTAACGTGTTAGTCTCAAATATTTGGCTCATGTGACACCGAAATGAGGTTATAAATCAACAATGAATCTTATCTCTCATATTTGTAAACCGCTATATTTACAATCAATCAATACATTATTATCATGCACGGAGCAATAAAAAGTATAATGTCATATGTTTCTGGTGATTATAATGGTGAGTGGACAAAAACAGTTTCAGATAAATTAGTGAAGATACAATATTGATATCGTTTAAAATTGAACTGCTTCCAATATGGCGCATAGTCAGGCGTGGGGAATAGATTAAACAACCAAGGGAGTTTAGAAAACGCGTTTATATTGTTAAAAATGGCCTTTTTGTTGACGAACCGTGACTTCAAAACACACTTCAAAAATAATGTTTATGCACAACAAACAAGAAGGTGAACCGATCGGAGGTAAATAAAACTGGAGCTCGATAAAGGAAATTTGACTATACGTACGCTAGACTATACGACTCAGTCATTGACTCCAACTAAAAATTCTGTTTTGGTTTGCTGGTTTCAGGATCACCGCTCTCTGTGGTTTAACCTTCGTGCGATCTACGAGAGCGTAAACCATATTTCAAATTACATAACTCTCATGTTTTTCATATAAATTTTTATTATTATCTTTGTATAAAAAAAGAACACTGATGAGTAATATATATTTGAAACAGTAATAATAACTAAAAAAATCATACTTTAGTTACTCTATTCGTCTCCATTCGAGATCGTATTCAGGCGCTAATAATACGTGACCGTTTTTGCCTTTCATATCCAATTCTCTATATACAAAACTCTTCGTGCTATTTTGCCAAACTTTAGGCAATCGAAATTCAAAATTTCGAATTATTGATGATAGAATGAAAAAGATATCGATATCAGCGATACGTTTACCAATGCATTGTCTTGGGCCAACCGAAAAGCCTACTACGGATTTCGATGGTACAAATTCACCAAATTCATTTATATGACGACGAACGTCAAACACTTCTGGTTCAGGAAATACTTCCGGGTCGTGGTGAACGCTCCATACATTCGGAAGCACCACTGATCCTTTGGGAACATCATAACCATTAATGGTACATCGTTCAGTGGCGGTTCGGGGCATCCCAAATGTATTTATGGGGCGAATTCTCAAGATCTCTTGAATTGTAGCTTTTAAAAGGTGCATTTTTGACATATGATTTACCGATGGGAAAAAATTAGTCCCGCCGATATTTATTATTTCTTTCCTGAGCTCAGCTTGTAATTTAAGATCTCGAGAAAGGTATAACAAGCCCCACAATAATGTATCTGCCGTTGTTTCAGCACCAGCAGTGAAAATATCAAATACATAAGTTAAAAGTTGATCATAGGTAAAAAAGGAATTTTCATTTGCGTCTTCCCTGTCAACGTTTTTCATTTCGTTGATAAAACAATCCACAAAATCAGACTCTGGTTTCAGCTCGGTGAAATCTGATATATGTTGGTCCACAACTTCTTTTATCATTTTGAATGTGTCTTTACGGAAACACAGGGCCTCATCAATCACGTCTTTTACGTAAGGCATACCTCGAAGTGCAGGTACAAGAAAAACAAGCATGAATACACTTGCGCTCTTTCTAGCTTGAATGGGCGTCTCTGAAAAATAATATGCATTATCTGATTATGAAGATTCGATCTAAACCGCTTGTTTTTGTTATTATTAAAAAATAGTTTTTCTCCCAATGCCTTCAATAATTTGAAAAATGTTGTGCCGGCCGGTAAAAAATTACCTGATAGGGATCAAAGAATGTTCTTGTGCCCTCAGACCATCAGGTTAGAAATAGCAAAAGTAATCATAAAAGTATAACCTTTATCGTTATGAGACAGTTTTGCACAATGAAATTGAAGCAGGTTCACTCATTTGTAAAATTATGAGAAAATAGCAAACATCGGGCCAACTACTTTCCAATCTGACTTCGAGTAGATACTATACTCAAATATTCAATTGAATATAAAATTATATCAAATCTTATTTTGACCAATGCCATAAATGAAATTCTAACTGTGCAACTGCATGATATTATAACATAATAATGTCTTACCTTCGAGTACAGCATTGTAATCTTCTTCGTCCTTTCTGAAGCTTCTTCCAAATAAAAGATTACACATGACGTTACCGGTTGCTTTGTGCATGAACTCCTCTGGATCTAGTAGCTTCCATTCTCCGGCGTTGTTGTTGAGATCATATCGTGATTTCAGGGATTGTGGTGGGTGTGCTCTCTTGTAGTTGCCACAGAGATATTCGTCGGTAGACTCTGGATTGTTCAATTGTTTCGCTAAAGCCGCAACCAACATTTGTGACTCTTCTGCAATTATCTCATTTAGGTGTTCATTGGCACTGATTGATTTGAAGGCTGAGTGACCAAACTTCCTCATACTGCGCCATTTGTCACCATAATCTAGGAAAATCAGTCCATTGCCATTTGTCATTTCTTGAATTAGGGACGTCTGAATTCTTCCGCTCATACGATGGCCGTTTTTAACGTAGGCTTCATGAATTGAGCTGAGATCGTTCAGCACAACAGCGTTCATTGTTCCGAATCGAACGCGAAATACTGACCCATAGCCTCTATTTCGACCCCAGTCCGCTATAACTCGTTCTGGATATCGCCCCATAAACGGGAGACTACCGACAATGGGAATCCATGGCGCTGACGGTGGGTCCATCCTGTTGTTTTCGTTCTTCCTGATCCGAATTCGGAATTGCCTAAACAAGTACAGCAATATTCGAATCAAAATCATTAACGCAACAGCATATTTCGCGATAGCCACGTCTGATTTTGGTTGACCCAGGTACTGCATATTTCTTTACTCAAGATACAACCAACTCTAAAAATTTAATGTCACTGATGCCTCAGTGCCCGCCTTTTATAGACCTGCGAGAGACATATGAACTGAACCTCAAATTCCACTCTGCAAAGACGATGAAACAGTTTTTCATCCGGCCCGGCATCGCCAAAACAAAAAGAAATATTTAATCTCGTTTTTTTCTTTATTTTGATACATTTACTTGTAATACGAGAGAAGGTGAGCAGCATTCGTGGAATTTCTCCATTCTCTCGTTTTATCTGATCGACAGGTAAACTTTGACGAGTGCAAATGTCTGCCGTGTTTTACCGCCGCCACCAAGTGTTGAATTAGTAAGAAAGCGCTTCGTACGTTCTATATGTGAATCCCACTAGTACTTTTCCGAGGTCTTTCGAATATTATGCTCATAGATCTAAATCCACTGACCAATTTGCTTTAAATCGTTTTGATTCTTAGTAAATTATAACTAGTACCTATCGTTCACAAGACAAGACTGTGTATTTGGCATTGCTCATTCGACCAATCCTCTGAATTGAGTGAATGTATTTGCATGTTATGTTATTGATAATTTACTTGGCAATTTGTAATAACTGCCGACATATTTTAATTTTAATAGCGTGTATGTTAAGCTCTGTCGATATCGTAGCAAACCGCGCCATTTTTCACTTCTCAAACACAGTTTCCTCGAGCTACAGACAATGTTTATAAGGTATGACACTTTTGTTTTTGAACATAAATCTTAAGTATCCGCCAATTTCTAAAGAACTACCGCACTATGTGTTGGCTCATACCAGTCAATTTCTACTTGAATTTTTGCCTTGTTTGCAATATATCTTTTTATGCCACACCGAGAACAAGATAGCGCCGCATGTGCACAGACTGAGTTCAGATAATCTTGCTGAACGACTGCATCTTTCACTTGGATATGGCAAATCCCAATATCAGAACTTCAAATTACCTATGGTTCTGTTGAGCACTGAATGAAAATCTAGAATACGACAAAAGTTACTGGCGAAACAACCAATGTCGTCTTGTGACAAATTTACACGGATGAACTGATGGGGTATAATCAACTAAATTGATTATAGAACTTCGAAGCAAATGGTTTAAACCCCCATAACCAACTCTTGTCTTCTATTACAATAAGTGAATCTTTTATAATTGTATTTATGAAAATATATTATTATATCAATAACACGTGCACGCAATTACCGCCAAATTACATCTGAAAAACAAAGCAACATATAAAATCATTGTAATCAGTATATAAGCAAAGTAATTGATAAAAAGCAGATAAAAATCAAGGCTACAAAAATGGATTGTGTAAAGAAACACGTTTACTGAAAATATGGCCTTCCAATTGTTTGGCCGTTGGTTGAGTTTGATTAAAGTTTCAGCAAATAGGTATACTTGAATGTCTTCGCTTAAAAAGTACTGTTTCTGGGTATCCAAAAATTCGTGTAGACTAGTCAGATTAATAAATGTTTGAACGAGCAATGAAAATTAAATAAATATTTTTTTTTTATTTACGGCACAAGAACTTTATTATTTCGTCCGAAAAAAAAAAAATATTTATACACTTAAAATAGATTTAGAAATATTGATCCCATGACGACGTATCTAATGGTTCTTCACTATTGACGGTGTCTTCTTCGACGGGAAGATTCTCAAAATTACTGGTATCATTTGTTCCACTAATATTTACTTTTATTGGTGATTTCACAAGCTGGCGACGCAAACCCTGAAATGAATTCAAATGTATGTTTCATGGATGTTAATTTTTCAATGAAAAAGTCAATTCTGCACGGAACCGTGCAGCGGAATATTTGTCCGATCATCAACATACTATATGAAGTATAAGTGATAAACATGGGCTTTACACCCAAAATTTCGAAATGCCATGCAGGTAAAATTATATTCAAGATGAATATATGCACAAGTTCAACTTTACAAGCAATTTTTAAACCGAGCATTGCATCAAATATTTTTTTTTCATTGATCTTACCTCCCAGTAAAACCCACGAAACCATCTATGCTTGCGAATATCATTCACTCCACCGCTCATATTTCCAATTCTACTCCTCGGATCGAGTCGACAAAGATTCCGAATCAGCAGCTGTTAACGAAGAAAATCATTATTGAATATTTGCTTCGAAATGCTTTCGTGTAGTAATATGACAATATTATTACAACCACATGTTTGTTTTTATGGAATTTTCTGGAGCATCGATTTGAATGAACTTCTTTTTTCCAAACTTTTGCACAAAGTGCCCGGGGCTTTGCATTTCAATACTCGGTTTATTTCAGCGCAGTAAAGTCAACATGATAACCGCTAAACCATTACAAATTACCTTCTTTGCGGACGTGTTTTTCGATTCTACGTTTGTGAGTGTACGTGACTTAGGCAATATTGCAACATGATTGCTTTCTTTCCAATGTAAAATATTATAAGCTGATAAACAAAAAACCCTTTTTTCATTTACATACGTCCAATTTGAATATATCTTTTCAATTTGAAAATCATCAAAGCTCTTTATCATGCGATACTGTTTATTAAAATCAAACTTAGCCTGATGTCCAAATAATTAATTAACACGTGCGAAAAATTTTAAGTCTAGTATGACAATAATATCAAGTTCATAAGGCTTTGAACATTGTAGCGAGTGAACTGAGATGTATAAGACGAACGCGGTAAAATATTTCAGTTATCTTGATAATCCGAAATTCTCCTGACACCAGCGGAATTTCAAAGTTGTTAATGAAACGAGTGGCTCAAATGAACTCGTATCACTGATAATCCATAGTCGAAATTTTATTCGATTTATAATTTCTACATCCAAGAAATTGAAGATCAGCAAAGTTGACCCAAAAAAATTCCATCTTTTGCAAATCACAGCCGCATTACATTAAGCGTGGCTTCATATACAGATAGTTCATGGAAGAATAGCAACTTTTTCTTGCTCATAAAAAGAGTGTAGTCCTTTTTAAATAACGATAAAGTAACTAAACTTATTTTACAAATTTATGTATGGTCTTTGACTATAGGTGTGCATAATTTTTAATCGCCTCAGTTCGAAGAAAAAAAAAATGAAGGCAGAACTGTGAGCCCAAATATATTTTCGTAACGTTTTTTACTTACATAGCAAGACTATTGAATCCTTTATAATACTTCAGTGACACTTTTTTTTATTTTTCATATTGTATCAAAACTTTTTGTTTTGTTTATTTATATAAATCCCTAATAACATGTAAACTTGAGCTTGTTTCGCGACCTTTGAAGTGCCACAAACGACTTCGAGGAATCTTCGTGTTTGTGTCGTTTTGTCTTGTTGCTCATCTACCGCGCATAAACATCACAACAATTACGGAAGCGATATTTCTGAGACTTGTTTTCATGTATACAAACAAACTAACATGTAGTGTCTACCGAGTCTTTGTGGGAATATTAGTTGCCACATTTTTCTCTGAATCATACTTATAATATTTTGTAAATCAAAAGCGAGATATCTCGTTAAGTAAAAAAAATATTATATATAACTATTTTAATTTTAAAAACAAGTTTAACAATGAGTTTAACAAGTTTTAACGGTTATGCCTATTAGTATGAACTAAACATAGACGGATCGCGATGGTGGTTTAGCGGGTATATGTCCCAGATTTATATTGGGATATAAACAATAATAAATTGGAGCTTCGAGTAAACTGGGGTCATTGGTGTAAGGGGATAACTCCCGCAATATTACGTAGTTAGGAATGTTATTCTCATCCATGCATGAGGTAATATCACAAACAATTTGTCAAATGCACATTTAGAAAATTGATTACATACACCGGTACAACACAAAATGCCTTCTATCTCCTCCTGACTTACGCATACGACAGCACGTGACTCTTTGAAACGTTGTGAAGATTTCAAACTTTTTAATTTGGTTTTAAACAGTATATTAGAATAAAGACGGAATTGAGATGAGATCTTTTTCTCAATTTACTACACTCTTTCATCACGGTGTAATATCACACAATACTGTTATGTATAGCAGGGGTTTCATTGTTCATTGCCTGGAACTGGTCAAATGGGTGTTTACAGTATGTCGATCATTGAGGTTCGCATATGTGATTATTTATCATACAACACTAAATTAAATACCAAAAACTTAAGTATAAATACGCCACTGATATACAAGACAAAACAGAAAATTAAAAACTTGTGATTTAGAATGACAGAATAGAGCCATACCCACACGCACAATTTTGCGACGAGAAAAGGATTATTATTTCGACTTTCCGTAAAGTGGTGCAAGACTAAGCAAACGATCATTTCTCAGTTGACACAACCACACACTGCCAATTTTGATTCTGTATAATTTATACTTTATTTTTGTAATACTGGGACTATGTAACATATAATAACCGGAGTAAAGGGCGTCTGCTATAAAATACGTTTTATGATGTAGTATGTACATAAAACAGATAAATATTTACGCGCGATTATTACGTGCAATAGATTGGTTGGAAAATCGTTTATAACCTGCCTTATTCGAGTCCGTTTGAGTTAAACAGAATCTGTGCAAATAGGGGATTTCCGCCTTGAAATCTTTCAAGGTTAATATGTACCCAATTGAAGTGGTTTTTATGCCATTTGACAGACACGGCTATGTAAAAACAAACAATTATTCTCAAGGAGTTATTAGGCTTTTAAAAGACTGGAAACTTTCCACTTCAGCATTAAGTTCTTAATTTGCTATACCATTAGAGACCCGGAAATTCTGGCTTGACCGCAGACTGAGCAGGGTTGAAATATGGGAAAACCAACAAATGCCAACTTAACTAAAAGAATGATAAAAACTCGAAGTCCACTTTCATATTTCCTGCCTAACTTATGTACGACTTCACCAAAAATATTCGAGTCGACAATTTTATTCATTTCCGATACGATTGAAGTAATATTACAAAATGTAAACGTGTTTCATGTAAGGTTTTGATATACTGGAATATAGTTGTGGGTTCACGAATTGTTTTATTCTGAACTCTTATGCTATAAGTTATCGATAATATTATACGTCAAAATCACTAACCCAATATCAATAAGCGCAAACCAAGCGACGTCAAAATCGTTACCAATATATCAAACGTGTATGTTTATCGTATCAAATGTATACGTATGATATCAGTAACTGATATAGTTGAAGCGGATACGTATTTCTGCTAGTCCTCTACTTTTTACAAAATGCAACACGTGATTTGAATATGCATTTTGGAACTTTTTATTTCATTTTACAATTTTTTTTTTTTAAATGTTACAACAGTTTAAACATAGCACGCCTGTAAAATGGTATGAAAATGTTGAAAGCATTACGTGTACTAACAGGGCAAATCTAAATTTATTTTAATTATGTTTTCCTTTAATAATTGGGGTAACATACCTCTGCATTTTTTGTCACTTCGTTTGGAAATTTTATTCTTTCTATTCCATCAACAATCTTCTCATATACGGTCAAATCATCTGGCGCAAAGAACGGTGTAGTTGCAGTGAGAAGCTCAAATGTAAGTATACCGAGAGACCAATAATCAGCTGATGAATCATGACCTGCATGTGAAGAATAAAAGTAATAAGTTGTTATTGTAAGTTGTGTTTCCATGATATGCTTATGCCTCTACTGATATAAACAGTATGTGTGTGAAACCGATTTGGGATAACCAATACTGAACATCCTTAGTGAGGTGGATGGTAATGTTTCTGTCGTCGGCTTAGTTTGGCCTAAAAACACATCATGGTTCCCATTGGACATGAGGTCTGGAAAACTGAATAATGGTAACTGTTAATGCAATTCTTTCACCATTTATTGCACCATCGTGAGATGGCGGGAGGGGATCCATCGATGTCCAAATTCGTATTATTTGGAGTGTATGCATTTTCGATCATCTCATTAAACACGAATCAATCTTCCCACCAAGCCGGATGGCCTATGAACAAGTACCAATAACGTGTTTACCATTCACGACCCCCCCCCACCATCACACTGTTGTACAATATTATAAACAACTTTCAAACGACAAAGCGTATTCAACATGTTCTGTGATACCCTTTTACCTACTTGAGTCAACGTATATCGTATGTTGCGTCATCAAACGGTTTCAATTTCAAATAATTCGAATAGCTTCGAACCCCCACTGAGTGCAAAATACGCACGTCGTCAAAGCCCCAGGATAGCATGGCCAGCCATTCACCAGACTAAACGTATGCTTTATGGTGTTTGCAAATAGTTTCAAGCCCAATGGAAATTCCCATCTCTCGTAGCCTATTGTTGTTCCAAATTCCAACGCGTACGAACTCCGAAGAGTTCATCCATGTTGAAGTATTGCGGTGCGACAATGTAATTTCTCACAAAAGAGGTCTATAACCCTGGGTCACGGACTCAACGATGGAAATTCGCAAAATTACCTATAATTTGGCAGTGATTGTTGAATATAATCTATATCAAAATAAAGTGAAATATCACAGTAATGTTTGATATCACTTCATGTGGAACGTTGCGCAAATCACTGCTAGCATTACTCATAGGGTATATGTCAGTTCGACTCTGGTCTTTACGACGTTAGTCGACCCAATACTTTTATGTGCTTGATGGTCTAAAAATATGACATCCAACAAAAAATATCCCAAAATTAGCAAGCCTGAATCGAAAATATCAACATTTTATACGATTTATACATATGTGTGAATTGGACTCCTCTGCAATGCCGCAATGTAGTCGGTAACATTAATGGTTTTTAATGAGTCATGAGCCGCCGTATTGATTAAGACTTGAAAGAGTTCGTTTTACCTAAATAACCTGAACTTCATTATGATAAATATTTTGTTTTCGGAAAAGACCATTCGAATGTAGATTATAAACTGCACAGCACAAATTGTAAGTGCTAATACAATAAGATTTAAAAGAAATAATGAGTTTACAGAACACAACCACAACTTTGAATCATCTCAAATATTAGTCAACCATATGGAAAATCAGGAGATGGTTTCCTTCCTAAATACTCGTTGTTTAATTTGATGATGAGCGTTAAGAAAAATCTTGTCAACAACCTCCCATACGTTTGAAATGATGCAGTATACCCAAAGTAATACATTTTTTGTTCAATTGATTAACAATTTTGAAAGGTTGGTTAAATTTAAAGACAACGTTGAAGCTTTAATAAGTATGTTTTGCTTCGTAGAAGTCTTGCGCTCGAAAAATATGTTTGCATATTACCCAGTGGAAAATTGCTCATTCGATATGAATTCATTTGCTATCTATTTTTATGGGGCTTTGCTCTCAAGTTGAGCGGAATTCACATCTATTCTTAAACTGAGTTGTTTGCTTAGTTTCTGACTGGGTATCTAACATTTTGTCAATATATATATGAAATCGTTTCTCAAATGCTTCACATAATTATATTTTTTGTGAGAATGATTTGCGCCAATTTTCGGATTGCACAATCGCTCATCAAAAGGACTAGTCACAGGTTATATCACCTCACTGTCAGTGCACTCAAAAAGGAAAAACGACGACACGCTTCTTTCATACATACACGATCACCCATGAGAACCACATATTTTGGATAAATTATAAGAATATAGAACGATTGGATTTGATAAATCCTTCGATATTCCACGGAACGAACTCAAAACAAAGGTCAAGCGGGCAAAGCAGTCTACGTGCAAAAATTCGCATCGCCATTTTAGACGTGTTGTTATTCACAAGAATTCCGTTGTGAATAGTATTATTTCAATTCCTTTGTATTTGAAACTTGAACTCGAATAGGCTAATGAATAAAAATAACATAACCTCGAATCCCTTTGCAAAAAAATCCAACGCTCTGATATTAAGTTGTATGGTATGCTATATATCCAATAAGGCAGGATGCAAAAAAATATTTCAGCGATGTCAAGATTCGTTAGTTTGCAAGTATAAATTTTGCAAAACATACTTACTATATAAAAAATGACAAAGTGGGTTTACAGTGCATGAACGAGATCTAGAAAGCCCACCGAAATCGATTCCAAATGGCAATGAAAAATAAGAATCAACATGATTTACATACAATTCGCCCGTCTTCGCTTGCGATTAGTCTTGCAAATTTATTTTAAAAAAAATGAAAATTATTGGTTTTATCGTGTACTCAAAAGTTGAATATAAACCAAACTTATATAACACGAAAAACCACTGTCGGTGTTTTTACTTGGTTTATTGAGTGACAATATCGATAATAAATACGGGTTCAGTAAAAACGATAAGTTACATCAAGAACCGCGGTGTCTGTAAACTGAATTCAGTATCAACTCGCATTGTGGCAGGATGGCATGAAAGACATCAAAGAGAAATTTAGAAAACATCAAAAGATATAGTCATTAGAACACAACTGATCGGATCCATATTTAAAAAAAAAACATAATAAACATCACGATTTGACCCTACTAGATATTGCAATAAAGATGAATCGAACTTATAAGCCACAATTGATTTGTGATAAATGTTTGGTGCAAATGCTACGAGGAAACACTTATATACGTGATTGCTAAAGTGGATATTCCCCATAGAAGAAACTTTGAAACTTTGAACTTAAAGAAGATACTCCCCAATCTTTTATTTTATTTTGAGGAAAGAACTTTGCCGTGAAGAGATGTGAAATCTAAAGGGTGTACGCCAAGTGAAAAATAATGTTTGGGGTAAGAGCATGCCGTCACGAAGTCTCAATTTTTAGTATGTATAGGAATTCAGAAAATTTCGGCCATTCGCGCGCACTTGCTTGTTTATACTGGATTAACCAGAACTTGGCTCCAGTTTGTAAACACAATAATTTCTGCACTAACTTGCATGACAGTTTGATTTTGATAAACAGGAATATAGTTACCAATTTTGTTTAGTCCAATGGCGTCATATGATTGATCTCTAAGTGCGCATATTTGGACGTGGTATTTAGCAAGTACAATAACATTATTGTAATATAGAAAGAATGAAGTCAACTTTGGAACGACGTAACCCATCTTCTGATCGACGGGACTCATTGGCTAATGAAAACTTAATTATGTGCCATTTTCATAGCATCGATTTGGGACATATTTCATAAAATAATACTTGTTAAAAAACAATTTGCTTCCCGAAATAGAATTTTATTTTTAAATAGGCATCCATGCATCATTTACTTTCGGTTAAAATTTGATTTCACGGAGGAAGGATTACCGGTTTACAGCTGCGTTTGATCTTGGGATAAGCCTGTTCGAGATTCTTCCCATTGTACCCTAAATGCGGCCAATTTCCGTTCGTGCACCGATTTTGAAATAGATTAAAACATCATACCCATTAAAATAATATTCTAAAAATAGGATGGGAATGGAGAAAAGTCGCTACCACACACAGTTAGACCATTTCAGGAGTATTACTCGCTTTAATCGTGGATGAAATAAATTGTCAAGTTCGAATGTTCTGCATTATAAATATACTCTGATAAAAATGAGAAAAAACATCAAAGCAAAAACTTTTTTACAAATTCAATTCGGTTATCTAAAAGGAAACTAGTGTTTTTTTGTAAGTTTTATGAATCTAATAACAAGGTAACGGTAGTAAATTTTGTGTTATTTTTCATTTTTTTCTATCGCATTATCATCATGTTTTCAAGGTTAGGCGGGAAAATAAATAAATAATAAAAATGATTAAAATCAAACATCAAAATAGTTTCATCATAAACAAAACATAAAGCTTATCAACAACCTAGCAATAAAGTTCGTTCGTTATTATTTTAATTTAAATAGACGAGGTTGAATGAACTTGACAATTTGACTTCGTTTCTGGTTCATACATTATGAATGACGGGAATTTGAACGATACCACATAATTCACGAGTTCATGGAACTACGAAACCACAAACTGATGGTTTTTGTACGAATTTTTTTTTATTTGGCGCAAAAGCCCGAATGAATTCACAAAGACGAGTATAAATTTTGTTCATGTAGGAGACTAGAAAATGTTGTTTTCAGGTGAAATTTTTTACCTGATAGTTGTCCATAGTAATATATATCAATCTAAATACATATTGCAATTTGGAATGTATTTATAATGTATTGTATGTAGGAAAGAAATGCCGCCAAGTTGAAGTTAGAAGAGATGCCACTTTTGAAGACCGAATGTATACCGAACCTAGTACATACACATTCCAGAAATGAAAAAAAGATTTTCAATCCAAGGTATGAACAAGAGCTGCAATTACCAACTGAAGTTCGACCCTGACATTGTTTTGAACAATAAATATTAAACCATCAGCCATAAATTGAAGTGGAATTTTCAAATAAGTTTTTGACTATCTGGTAAAAACTGCATAATGTTGTGTCCAACGTTCAGTCAATTTGTCTATACGAATACAGTGCAACTACAAGTTTGCATGGTTGATTGGTGAATGAAATAATCTTTAACTTTGTGAATAACTTTTTACTTTATGGATGAAAGATCATAAATATTGGGTTTAGTTGTCAAAAAATATCTCAAAAATTGAATCGATATTAAATTTCGCCCCAAAGCGGGCAGGCAGAAATCTAGAAAATTCAGTTTATTCAATATCGCAATTTCTCTTACGTAAATGCTTTACAATAAAATAATGTTATCATGTGTGATGTAAGCCATATCGATGTATATTGATGCAACACAATGCAGGAAAATCATTGCCTGACGCATTAAAAGCAAAGAGTGACGCACAACTTCGTCGATTGCATGACCGAATTTCATTTTTTGTTGAATTTAGAGTTTTATTGCATTTTAATGAGATACAGTACAATTTACCGAATAAATGCGATAGTATATATTGACATAGTTCATATGTTGTATATTGGATACAATTTGAACTGCCTAAACTCATTGTTCAACATTGTTGTAAGAAATTGTTCAGAAATTCGTTTTATAAGCTGCCGTAATTCGGCATGCGAAACAACAACAACAACAAAATAATCGGGTTCGGCAAAAACTATTTAAAATGCTAAGTGAAATAAATGGATTTGTTCGAGTAAACCAAAGCGTTTTTTGTTTGAGATTATAAACGTTTATCTCTTATGATATATTAATCATATTACTTTTCTTAATAGAAAAATAATCCGTTTATATCCAGTTTTTCCAGAACGTTTAAAAGTAGACCTAAAAGTTTCGAAAACATCCCGATTAAAAGATTTGCTATAGAAAATATTTACCCAAATTTTGAAGAATTTCTGGCGGAAAATATTCTGGCGTTCCGCAAAAAGTCCATGTTTTGTTTCCTGGTTTGACTTTTTTAGCGAATCCAAAATCCACAAGCTTTACATAACCACTGAAAACAAACAGAACAAGAATTTTGAAACTTTGGTATTTAGTGTTTAAACAGTTACATAAATTGATGAAAACAGTCACAAAAAAAGTAAAAAAAACTTCTCAGGCAAAAATGTTTGAATTCACAATTGTGATGTCATTCGACCATCCATTGACATTGAAAATATTACTCAATCCGGCTTTGGAATAAACTTCCATTTATGTTTGATATATATTTATCATTATTCCCACTTGGTACGCTTGGTATATGTAAAGATTCATATCTGTATGGATCATAATTTGGCGCAGTTGGTCACTTATAATTTTTCTTTTACCATACATTTCCCTTATAGGGCGAATAAATTTTTGTGGAATGCATATGCATGAACATCCATAAAAACTAGACACGTTGCATGCCTGGCGAATGAGACAAAATTCAAAGTAAGCGAGAATATATAGCAAAAGAACAGTTTTCTTACTTGTGGTCTATCATGAGATTTTCGGGCTTCAGGTCTCTGTATGCAATGCACCGAAAATGTAAGTACGCCAGTGCCTCTATCACACAAGCGATGGCAAATCGACCAGCTTCTTCATTTAAAGGTCCTTTTCTTTTTATAGTGATATAAATGTCACCTCCCAAATAGGCGTCCATCAACATGTATATATTGTGGTCGTCTTTGTAAGTTCTATAATGTAAAAAAGGAAAATTTCCAATTTCTTAGTTCCTTATTTGAAATACTATTTATCTGGTATAAATTTCACATAACGAGATTCCGACAAATAATTTGTGCCAAATGGTAACGTTTTCAAAAATATTCATCAAATAAAAATCTTTAATTTTGGACCAAAAAGCTGAATCTTCGATGAAAACTTTTTGTCATGGTGGTGAATTTCAAGTAGGGTATTTCGAGCTGAAAAACTGCAATGTCTTAAGATATATTTAGCCTTTTTGAATGATCGACAATAACTGTATTTGCGACGTTTACACAGGCATGAATTTATAAATTTGTTTGCTATTCTCATAATAATTTCATTTTTATATTCATATTAAAAATACTGCACAAATTCAGAAATGTTTGGAGACTTCAATTAGATTCCGAAAACTATATTTGTTGTATGGTGCATTAATTGTAACAGACACTAATGACATTTTGATGACAACTATGTATTTAAACTCATAGGTTGAAATTGACCTGACAAAAGATTTTTTTCGGTGTCATCAAAATTTGTTGTGACCCCGAAAATGAGTTCAGACCATTGTTTTGTTTAATAACGCGTCAGTGCCATCAAACAGACTTCGGACTTTGTAACCAACCGAGATGGCTCAAATGATCCGGTAGTCATAAGACTCGGAATGCAAACAAATTTTTTTGCGGTGGGACTTGTGAACAATATTAATATTTGGGATTTCATTGTTTGCTTGTATCAGACGTAATTCGTACTGAAAAAGTTGGTTGAACTCAAAGAGTTCGCGTGAACTCATTCGAATTTTTATGCAAGACGTCGGTTCACAGTACATTGTCAGAAAACGACTGTGGCGGACGACCGTTCTGATAGTGCCAGTCATCAGACTTGGAATGTAAATAATTTTTTTCGCGGTGAGACTTGCAAACAATATTACTATTTGGGATCTCATTGTTTGCTTTTATTCAGACGTACTTCGTACTAAAAAGTTTCGTAATCTTGTTTCGTTTCCTAGACGTCATAGATAACCCACATTATATCAATATTGAAAAGAAATATTGGAGTAAATTCAATTTCATGGATTACGTTTAAGACACATCGCCGAATGAAGTTTGATTCAAGCAAAATCACCCCAAAATGATCACACATAGAAGCTTAAGCCTATCTAACCCATGCAAGTCATTGCCAGTTTGAATGTGCTTTTGTGGGGTTAATTTGGACAAATCAGGAGTCATAATATCAATTTAATAGAAGATAAATAGACAAAGGATAATAATCAAAACAGTTCTTTAACTTCAGTTAAAATATTGGAAGAATCAACCCCTCTTTTTCATCCTGCTATATATCACTTGTTCACACTTGTTGGTGTGTATGGAAATAAAAATGAATTGGATTAGTAATTATTCGATTCATTCTTTGTCATTCAGGGGTCTGAACTGCTGATCGAACATAATATTTATTTGCAGTTTAAGATTTTATATAATATTACAAGTATTTTACCCATTGATCTAATAGGCTAGTTAGATTTTATAATAGTTTCAAACGTAAATGGCTGACTCCAAGTAATCGGGTATTTGGTTCAGCAAGTTGAGAATAATGCTTGACACGCAGAATCTGAACAAAAACGAACTTGAAACAAATTCATTTAGAGGTCACAGCCAAATACTTGGAATGGGTTCAAATGATTATATATAATATATGGTTTCGTAATGTGTAACCGTAATAAAAAAAAAATTAACGCGGGTGCTATCAGACCAAATCAATCATATTTTACTCTTCGATGAGAATGGAAAAAATTGCGGCGAGACAAAGTAAACCTATTAAACATGAAAAGTATTTTTCAAAATTTCATTGTTTGCTTCTCGTGTTGCGACTTGTTTTCATTAGTTATAGATATAAGGTTACCTCAAACACTCCGAAATCGACCGCGAAGTTGAACCCAAGGTAGACGTTCGAAGAATTCCTACAACTCATACATTTTTTATTAAATTGATAGTGAGATACTATATTATAGAGTATGGGGTTAAATTTTAAGTTGCTGTACGACTTGCTAACATTTCCACAGAAACTCTTTAATATTCGGGATAAACTAGGCATTCCTATTCCAAAGACGGCTAAATGGAGTGAAAATTGGACAATAAAATTTAAGAACAAAAAAGATATAGTGAAACGGACTAGTATGCGAATCCGATTTAGTGGGTGAATAGACATTAACGATCGAAACTTTTGTCTTGGCTGGTTTCGCTACCTTGGCGTCACTAACGTGTTTACAGCATTATGTATTAGTAGACTACGAACGCACATTAATATACCATGACCCTCAAATGGACTTTAGTTTAAGAAGCTACAAATTGGGGCCCGAATCACACATCATAAAACAGCGAACGCAATTTTTCTGCCGGATGCATGAAAAAACATAAACACTGAATGGGGAACTGACACAGCTAGGTACTCGTAATATATTGTTCAAGATTGTGAACAAAACGATTGACGATAGTATAAGATGAATTCAAATTTACGATGAGAAGAGTGAATCTAAAAAGAAACCCTGTAGGTCCACCGGAAGGTTGAAAAACGTGTAATACGAACCCCGAAAGCCTAAACTGACTGGTAATCGTAATAATGCTATCCGAAATTGAAAATACCTACATGAATACAATATAGGCAGATCAAGGATGACTATGTTTAAATCATATATGTTCGAGCTATTCCAATTACTTGTGTGTTTATTAATAGTCAGATTCACAGTAATATTTCATGCATTTTTCAAACCAATGCCTGCGTTTGCTTTAAGAACGGATTCGTTTTTAAGAGAATAGAGACCCATTCATGGCGGGGCAGTAAGATTTAGCATGATTACAAAGATGAATTATAAATGGAATAAACTAACGAATTGCAGAATTATCGCTGCAATAAATTTTATTAATTTCTATTTCAAAATGAGGATCCGAATATTTATCTCACTTGGGAGGTTCTAAGATTTCGGCTTGTTTGTTCCATACTGTAATCTAATTGTATATATGTATACTTCCCATTAAACCTATCGTATTTTTTAAACAGTCCTGTCAGAAATTAGCGCTTGGCCTCCAATGACTTTAGGCCCAATTGTATAAGGTTTCTTTATCTATAAATAGAATACTTCAATACTTGTTTACTATTCCTGGTACGGTTTGGGGGTCATTACCCAGTTATCGTGACAAAACTTCATGATCGGAATGTCCAAAGTGTTTTATTGACTTCCACCAAGGTTAAAGGTCGGAATGTGAGTAGGCGACTGTATTGTTAGCAGACTATTTGTGTGATTTTAAGCCCAAGCGGGAAATATTTGTGGTATTTGCTCATAAATAACAATAAAATAGCAAAATGCAGTGTAACTTCAGGTTACTCGGTGAGATTTGTACCATGTATTTTATGGTGAAAAATTGACGTTATCGAGCTATGAAACCTATGTTAGTCCTTTCGCAATGACTCAGCGATTTACGCGAGTTGACTTACGAATTGATTCGAGAGAATTCTTTCAAAGTGATAAAATCATTTTCTCTCGTTTTTATGGCTGGGTCGGTTCTGAAACAAGGTTTCACCCGCCAATATACTGCGGCCGTCTGTAGCAAGGATTGTCTGGCCCACAACCTTAAGTTATACCGCAGTTTACTGCTTTTAAAAGATAACAAATTAATCAGACTATAAAACCTACGCCCTTGTTCCACCTGGTTAAAGCCGTGGGTGGCCGAATATATTGGAACTTCTGCAATACTGCAGTGTCACATCGTTAGTCATTTGAAAGCGAGAATCGGATGAGAATCATTTGTAAAAGATTTAGATTTAACGCCGATGTGAGGCATCAGTACCCGATATCTGTAGACTTCAAACATAGAATCCGGTAACTTTGATAATTCCAGTTACCCAAGATAAATAAGTGTACATATAGCTAATGAGTGATTAATTGGGCGTGACATTGACAGTTTGATTTCACATTAGATTGGATCAGTCTTAAGGTCCTGTTCGCCATTTAAATAACCCATCATAGAGATGTTTACTGCTATTCAAATACAATGTTTATGTACACTCCAAGTCTCCAACCTTTAGTTGAAGAAATTTCATCGTGCGAGAGACATCTCGCGGTTGTAATACTCCAAAAAAGAAAAGGTCTGGGTAATGTTATGTAGCGGTAGCAGGTTGTTTCCCTAAAGTTGCAGCTAATTATTTCAGCTGATGACTGATTTTTTCTAAGTATTTTGTTATAGTAAGGTATCTGTCTGTAGTGAAGTGAAATGTCACTGTCATATATTTCATTAGATATTTTCAATAATGACAATGGTAATAACAAGAAATCTATGCTCAAATATATGGACACGTAGCACCACATAATTTTGATGACGTCATAGCAAAAATAAATAAAAGTAATAGCCCTCTCTCAAAAAATATAATCTTTACTCACTGAAAATTCGAAATTTCACGCAATTGGTCCAGTACTCAAAGAGAAAAGTGATTTCTTTAAAACGTGTGAAAGAACAACAAGAACAAGAACAACAACATAATGATATTGAAACAATCGTTATGTCCACTACGTGTCCAATAAGACGATGGACATTCTAGGATTGTGCGACTATCAACTACGTTGACTACGAGGTTGATAGATCGCATCATCTTGTAAAATATTTCAATAGACTTTTCATACCTGTGAAGACATGCAATAAACGTAGAAGTTATTGCCATCAAAATATTTCTTTCCGCAACAACATGAGTTTCTTGTCCTGTTTTTACAATGAAAGCTTTTTTGATCGTTTTCAAAGCAAATGCCCTGTTAGGGATTGATGGGATATGTACAAGACTAACGCTTCCGAAACCTCCCTTACCTAGTAGTTTGGTCACCTGTGCAAATAAATAAAAAATATTTATCCCAATGCAATTCCATATTAAATTAAAGATAGTTGAATAAATTATAAATATATCATAGGTTTCTATCTTGCGTTTCATTTATTTCTACTCGAGAAAATGGGAACGAACATCCAGTAAGTTGTTCAGAACCTCTCAAATCGCAAAATTATTTGAAACAAACCTTCAAATTATCGAGTGTTGTTCGTTGCAAAATAATTTTTTCTCTTTGCGTCAATCCTTTGATGTCAGCTGTTATATTTTGATCTGTTCATGTAGCAAGAAACAAATGATAACAAGAAAATATTGAAACACCATCGAAGTCAATAGATTGAAAAATAGGAAAAGGATGTACCAAATATTAAAACTCTCTCGTTTTACCAAATATGAATTACAGCAACGACTATAATTTTCAGTAGAAAAATGGTTTGATTTTCTCATTTTCCAAACATTGCTATTGTGAAGTATGTATTTTATTCATTATTAGTATTTCATTTTCATACCCGTGAATTCTTCTGCCACTTCTTCAATCGTGGAGATCTTTGTTTTCGTTTCTTCACGATTCTTGCTTTCCAATTCATCAAGGTTTTGAGCTTGTAGATTAACCTGAAACATAATTAAAATATATTAAAAAAATCTAGATGTCAACTTTCGTTAGAAACGAAAAGCTTTAAAAATGCTTTATACACATGGTAATTTGTATATAAACAATATGTACGGGGTTTACCGCATTACCTATACTTCAAGTTGACTTCACACTGTGTTATACAATTTTATTCTCTTTAATTAATGGATTTGTATAAGTGCAATCATTGTTTATTAGAGGAAGTATCATACCTCTGATATAGCTCCTATCAAAGAACTAAATGCAAGCCTATCCAGTGTGAGACAGACGACATCAGTGTATGCTATTACGTTGGCTGCACGTTTTTCTTCGCGTAGTAAAGCTCTTTCTCCAAAGAATTTACCTAAAATTTTGAAATGAAATAGTATCGAGCAAAATATATAATTTTTTTTGAATTCAAGGACAAGAAACCGTTGTGAACAACGTAAACACAAGTTAATTGTTATTCCGAGAAGTGTTTGTAATAGACCAACACATGGTGAAGTACAATTTTAGAAAGAATACTTGAGCAAAATATCTCCAAACTAGCTTACCTCTATCCATGTAGCTCAAAAAGGTTGCTTCATCTTCTGGCTGAAAAATATAAGCAGAGAAATTGTAGCATCCATATCTTAGAATAAGAGGAAGATTATACACAGATTATTAAAATTCACACGAAGCCACCAAACACATTCGAATTTATGCATTCAAAAATCATGCTTAATCATCTTGTCATGATGAACGTCAATTGTGAGAGGCATGATATCTATACCTTTATAAACGTTGATTCATAAAGGTAATTGTTGTTAAGCAAAGAAAAACGTTGGTCAAATCTGAGTGTTATCTATTATTGTAATCGTACTCGGAAGATCAGACGCGGTGAGAATTCAATATTGAAGTGAGTGAGAATATCTTTTGCTTTAAATAACAATACCTTGGCACCATCTTCAAATTTGGTTATTTTTACTTTTCCATCATATAGAATGTAAAACGTATCTCCTGATTCACCCTGTCTTATAATATATTCCCCCGCCTTGAAAGTTTCTTCCTCCAAGCAATCTGCAATTCGCATAATTTTTTCTTCCGGTAGATGGCGCAATTGATCAACAGTTTGGAGTAGCTTAATATATTCATCTCTAATCATTTTCCCTCGTCGTTGAACCACACTCTAAAATGAAGAGTAAAATGTCGCGATTCACAATCATCACAAATCAAAATTATCACGTTGCTCCCTTCTAGTGCTGCTGTTTAGTACATGGCATGCATAGGAGACCCATCATTGTGAGCATACTGACGTATTCGCAACATAAAAACTTACTCTGAAACCAGTGGTGTATTAAAGATCTTGATTAAGTGTTATTATTGCAAAAAAATCGAACAAAAACAAAAACTGTCCCATAATAATATCGCGAAGCGCGACCCCATGGTACCTCTCTTTCATGGTCAGTAATTGGAGGCAAATTTTCAAATTTCCCAAATACGATAGTCGTTAATATATCGCAAAAAAAACTAAATAGATATATATCGTTTAACAAACTAGAAAAGCGTGACTTTGAAAAAATGCCAATCATAAGTGCAAGATTTTTTGCTTGTGCAACATTAAATATTTATAATGTGGCTTCCACGTGAATTCGATTTTGGAAGATAGACTGACTAAGGTAAATTTTCCTAAAATCTATTTATGAAAATTAAGCAAAAGCCTGTCGCCTAATGTATATTTATTGTTTAGAATTTGGGGATTTTACATTAATTGCCGAACATTATCACCTGAAAACTTTTTCTCTCCAACGACCAAAGAACGACACCTGTTCTTGCACGCACTGATGCAGTACGTTTGCAGTTGTATAAGATCGCTAATTCTCCAAAAACACAACCAGGTGTTAATACAGCTAGTCTGGTCATTTCGTTTGATTTTTCTTGAAATACTTCCACCTGGAAATTACAAAGAGAAGACATTAGCATATATATTATACTCTTTTACGCAATTAGTTAAGATTTGGAACTTTTCTTTGGATAAGTTTGTATTGTGTTCAATGAGAATACATTTTGAATTTGTGCACTGTTGTACAGACATACATGAATTCTATATATTTTCCACAAAATGAACATTGTACTGGTACACAATTTTACTAAAAGCTTTCAGGAAACCTATAATTTATTTATTAGTGAAATATATGACAGTTTAAAAAGTGTTATGGTGATGTACCAGTCTGAATAAATAAATATATTCTTATGACACAAATATTAATCCAGCAAAAACTTAATGGCAAAACAAATGCAGAGTGAGCAACTATTAAAAACTCCTGTATCATACCTCTCCCTCTTCTATAATGTACAAGTGAGTTCCAGCATCTCCTTCTCTTATAATATTGCATTTTGCTTCCAATTCCTCTTTCTGCATACATTCTATCAATTCCTTCACTTGAGATTGAGCCAGACTTGACAAAAATATGTTTCTTCTTAGAGCACGGGCGATACTTTTCTTTTCCGAGTCAGTTTTGGGAAAGTTTTTAACGTGATGCTGGAATTCAAAAATCGCTTCAATATTTCAAATCAATTTCAAGCGGATATGTAGCAATCCATATTATTACCCCAACGTCAATACATTTACTTCTGCATCGAGTTCACACCAACCCCAGCATGGGACATAAGCTACTCACGAATCACGACTACTTCGCATTGAACTATAAACGGTATTGTGTGAATAAATAACTACGTTTGTCGTCGAAAGATCTGGGATCACTACACACAAATATCATTCGTTTCAGCTCAGAAGTATTTTCATTTGTAAGTATATATATTTGCTTCATGTTGCATGAATATTGATGTGTATTTAATATTTCATTAAATCGTGTATTCTTAAACTAATCATATTGGTATGCTAAAAAATATGTAATATCGAGTACAATATGCCTTGTTTCTTACTTATACAAGTTTAACAACTATTAAAACTGTGATCTACTTCTACTATCGGAGGCGTTGATCTGTTTTTGTGACTAACATGTTTTATCTACACCCTGATGAATAATTTCGTATCATTTGAAAACAAAATATTGGAAATTGCAAACTCACATGTAAACTCTTTGAAGCACGATTTTCTGCAGAAATACCGAATCTAGCCTTATCCGTCTTCACAGCAAGCAGTTTTGTTCCTTCCTCGCTTTGATCCCTTTCTTTTACTCCCCATAAAGCTTTCAATCGTCGTATTTCAGAATCCTTGTCGTTGATGACTTTTTCCACAGTTTCTTTCACAGTTTCAACCTGATAATATTAACAAATATGTTACGATATTGACTAAATTGGGTAGCGAGGAGTCAATGTACAAAAATATTTAGCATTAGATAACATACAAATTGAATAACTTGTCTTTTGCTTTGCTTGTTTGAATGTAATATGCGCAGGAGTCAGTGTAGACCAAATATTTAGCATTAGATAACATAAAAATTGAATAACTAGTCCTTTGCTTCGGTTGTTTGAATATAATTTACCAGGAGTTTAAAGTCAAAATTGCCATGATTGTGAAACCCCAAACTCTGATGTTAATTTCAATTGCAGGGTGTCACTAAAAGTGACTGAAAAGTATGAGAACTTGAGCAATCTTGTAGTGGACTATTGCGTGGTGAGATACCAGATGGCACATAATGTCAAAAAATTGCTAAAGTCCAAAACAAACTAGTGAGATTTTATTTAACGCGGAGTTGGTTCGACGAGCGCTTGCTCCCTCAATTCGGTATTACATTTATATGGCAAGATAATTTCATAACGTTCTTCGATTTTGAATTCTAAGCAGAATTGAAATGATATCGAATTGCACAGTACACCTATAACGCCAATGTCACTAATCCAAGACCAAATAGGTTCATTCTTGCGTTTTAATAAATAAAGTCTGAATTTTAGGTGAATTGGTAATAATTCACAACAACTGCAAGTTCTAAAAACCAAATCTGCAATATCCTATATTACTCCCACACCACCTTTACCTGGTTGTCCTTGTCTCGTCTCATCTTGTGTAACTTGATTGTTAGGTCATCTATTTGCTTGTCCTTACTTTCAATTATTTCTTCCAACTTAGTAATTTGTGTCTGTTGCAGAAAAGGAATAATTGTTTGTTTTCGCTAATTCTAAATTGTCGGAAATTCGCTCAGAACAACAAGTAATTAATTTTTTCGGGACTCAGGTCTATTCTATATTCGAAATAAGGAGTTGGGTTTATATATATATATACGAGTAACATAGTTTCGAATTCCCATTGGTTGCTTCTATTAACAGTATTATCCAGAAATGAGTTGAATCGATATCTGGCTCAAAATTCAGAACATCCAATTATCACTAACAATGAGGGTTAGGGTTCTAAAGGGATACGGCCTTATCGGTAGGGGTTGAGTGAAAATTCACTGAATTTTATAATAAACGTTGTCGAAGGATATGAACAGTAGTTGCTTGATTGGAATTTCACAACTTGTGTAATATTTTCATCTATGCAAGCACGTGACAGATTGAGTATATTGTCATGCCTCTTCAACAAATTTTTCAAACTTTACGGTACTTAAAGAATGACGATATCAATAAGATTGTATTATATTGTATAGGTGACTATAAATCTAACCTTCAACTCTTTTATTTCATCATCAAGGCTCGGAACGGATACCGTCTGTTTTCTATTTGATGTTTTATTAACGTTGTGTTGACCATTTTTCGATTCATCGTATTCTCGCATCGCTTTCTCTGCCGCTCTTGATAATCTGTTAGATAACATAAATACTGCCTAACAAAGCTATAAGAATCAGAATTTGATAAAATGGAATCTCAAGTTGGCAAATGACGCCCGGTTGTCTTGCTGATATTTGCTTCCACAATCTTCAACTTGTTCCACTCATGTCAATAACAATAAATCAAGATGGTCTTCTGCTTTTCAGACTAATTGTCGTCGCCAATCAGTCGCTTTGTTGTGTTTATTTTACTACATGTTACAATATTTCATATCCAATTTACATGTTCAGTGAAGTAAAGTTATCATTATTGTATCTATTTATTTGAGATCCAACTTCCTCCGAAACATTCTATGCTGATTAAACATAGATAGAACTCTCTTTCCTAGAATATAAGTGTATTCAAAAGGAGATAAGAACTGAGGGACGGCAGCCAGTATGACTGTGAAGAGTTAAATATTTCGAATTCTCACAAATAGAGATAGTAAAAATTTAAGACTTCCCCTATATATGTACACATCGCAAAAATCAGCTTCAGCTAAAAATAAATATACTAAATATGCAGAATTGTATCATATAATCATTCATAGTTACCGACCGTTACCACCTGTATCTTGAGTCAGTTTTTTTTTATTCGTTCTGAGTGAGTGCTTTCAATCCTTTTTTAATAAATCCATCAAACATGAACAGATATACAATCTTGTCCTCAAAATGAAATGAGAACTCGCATTTTTTTTCAGGGGCTGAATTCGATTGAAGTTTAATACTCAACAGCATATATTATGATACTTACCTGACAATTTCTGCGTCTTTGCGTTCCAACTGGGTTTTCAGACGCGATACGATTGCCTCCATTTCCTTTTTTGATTTGTCCATATCAGCGTCGTCAGTTGAGGCTTTACGTTTTTATATAATCATGAAAAATAAAATTTTTGTGTGAAAATATTAGTGTCCTGGCAAACTTGTATTAATTATAATTGATGTTTAACATTATGAACATTTTAATCTGTTTTTGAAATTACTATGGACCTATTTTTGTGTGTATCAAATTTTACACGTTATTTTGGTTCCTCTCTCGCATTCGAATTTGCTAAACAGTTATACGTGTTCATTTCAATACTTGTTTTCATAAAAACAATATTTCATTCCGGTTATCTAATCACATTTTTTTGAAATCAATAAATCAACAACCCTGCTATTAAACTTATAATTTGTCAGTTATTAACAGTTTATTCAATATCAGAAAAATGCATCTCTTTACAAATTGTACGCGATTTTTGGAACATTAGAATTCCAATAATTTCGCTTTTTTATTTCCGATTCATAATTTTTTTTATAAGTTTTTTTCTAAGATAGATATTGTCCACGAACTCTCACACTTGGCTAGAAATAGATACTATTTTTGTATAGATTCCATCAGTTTGCATATTAATGGAAATTTAGCGGAAAACCGTAACACTGAAGTTCCTCTAGAGTAAAACTCAATTCACCGTACATGCAAATCATACATTTTAGAGAACGAACTGGATATGAAATCTCTGCAGTAAACATAAAAATGTCACTTCATCATGAATAATTAATTACAAGGACGTGACTAAACACGTCAAAACATTAATGTACGTCATCTTTGGACATTATTGAACATAATGTTGCAATAAATATGGATTATAAGGTAGAGTGAACGCAATTTCGAGCCATTACCATCCCATGGGGGAGAACTCGCTATCTAAATGGTAGATTTTTCCCGAGATTAGATAATGAATTTTAATACTACAATACTCATCTGTTTAATTGCAGCTTACATTTTTCATCGTCAAAGCGCAAATTATTATGAATAAAATTACAAATCAGAGACTATTTTATTACAAAAATAAATTTAAATGTCACTTCTTTCTTTAAAAATTTCTGCTGAAGATAAAACACTGCCCGTCACATTATACTTCATTCCACATTGGACGGGAAAAGCAAATTCGACAACATAATAGGTCAAGTATGTGACGAAGAAAAGAGGAAAATCTACTCCTAGACTCTGTGTGATAAATGTATAACACGGATACAAAATTCGTTGTATGTTTCGCAAGTTTGCCAAAAGAACACAGAATTACTTATCATTCTTCATAAAGAATACGAAAAAGGCTTGATTGAACATTTTGTAGCCACTGTAAAAGTTAAATGAACACTCCACAAATCCACATGCACTAGCAATGTCATTTTGTCTATTAAATATTCAACGAGACAGCGCTGAACAAAATCAAATATTTTACTGAATTTTATCATGCTGTGTACATTCAGACATATTAATCGGATTTCTCTCCTTATCCTTGGTTACGAAAATCGAATACTTTGTTTTGAAATTGTTTCACTAAAACAGCAGAAAATATTGTCTTCTACCTTGACTTGTAGTTTCCTTCTGATGCGAAGCAGTTACTTTGCTGTCGTGAGTCGACGCCACAGATCCCATTATATTTTGTGTCTCAATAATATAATTCGTGATTTTTAATAGTTATAAGTCTTCATCTTTGCAAACAACTTTGCCACTTCGTGTATGTACTTTCTATGCTTATTTAAACAATCTATAACAAAGACAAGAATCGTGGCGACAAAAAATTATTCGTAATCTTCTAGGAATATAGACCTCGAGCCTTTCATGCAAACCCGTTTTTTGGTCATTTTAGAAGTGCGCAAAAAGCATGTCATCCGACTAAAGAAGCATGTCATTTGTTTTTTGTTATCGCGTACTGTAGTAAATAAGTCGCATTTAGTTTCGAGTGCATTGACTTCCATTCAATACCACATCATATCTAGATTTGCGCACAGAACTAGGTAAACAAACGTAGGTACAAGTCAGTTTCTAACAAACCATTTCTGACTTATCGCTCAATCATACTCATATTGACTTTACTGAATAAAATGTACGCCAACAATGGCGATTTTGTTGAATAACGCGGTCCAAATTTATATTCAACCTAACGCTTATCTGGTCAATATTACGTTAGGGCATATACAAAAGTCGAGCGAGCGTCTACAATGCTAAAACATGGAATATCTTCATATTAAATTTTACCTGAAACCTAAAACACTTTCTAAGCTAACCCCTATTTTAAACTCTCACAGCATGGTAGTTATTTATTCTTTGCTTTAGTATTAAGCTCAAAATTTATCATTATCATCCATAGGATTGAGATATATTTCACTCAAATTATAATTTTCAATCCAATTTGAACAACGATCTGTATAAGTAGCCGAATTGCAAAAAAAAATCATTTTTTTCTCAATAATAAAACATATTTCTACAGAGAAAACTCAGTAAAGTTTAATTACTCAATGTAATTTATATGAGCTAACTACGTAACATCAAACCATTCATGAAGAATTTTACTAACACTTGAATATTATTATTGTAATCAACAATAAGCACGCTACCCACCATCTATAACATTTAAAAAAAAATGACGAAATTCACACAACTTCATCATGTAATTAATTATTTATTAGTTATTCTGTAATAAACTCTCTCAATTTGTACCTAGTGTGAGCGACAAATGGATCACGGCGCTTGAACTATTTATTTTTATTGCCTTATTTCTTACGTTTCATTGCAAATTGTTTTTATATTATAAAAACTAAATTCTAAGCAAAATTAGTAAATTCACATATTTTTTTGATAGTGTACATAGTAAATTAACACAAATGTAATATCGATTGAAAAGCATCATGTCCTTTTATGCTATCAAAACAAACCGCTTTGTAGAGTGGTACATGTGCGCTAAAGAGCATTAAGTGGATTATCCTGAGTGAGTACACGAGACGTGGAAGCCTGATTTATCAGTATTGTTACTTACCAAGGCTTTTGTAAATTTTACGGAGCAGTGTCAACAGACACTAAGAAAAACCAACTTTAAAATCTCCAACACTTTAACTTGCGAAATGATGAATTTCTAACTTAGCATGGTTTATTGAAGTATATCAAATTTTGCAATAGTTGTTTTGAGGATCACTCGAATCAAGGACTCAAAGAATCATCTTGATGTGGAAAATTTTCATAACAAATCAGTTACAAAAAGCCCACCGTATCGTTCAGATGACATAGTCACAAATATCTAGATTAATTATTGCTGTTGTGACATCAATAAATATTGTTCGTCTTGAATCAATGTCAGCATTAGGCAATCTGCAATATTTCTGGAAAATATGCCATTGATATATTTTATAGATTACTTTTCTCTGTTATTTAAATCATACCGCATCTCGTTTTTTGGCAATCCAATGACATTAAACAACATGATGCGCAACTCCGGCATTTTTGGCCGAAGATCGTATCTGATAGCACGCTCCAATGCACATACTTGACGAGACGAAAACGAGCGGATGTGTGCTGCTTTCAAGGCATAGCACGAATGGTGTTCGTGCCTGCTTTGACAGTTGTTGTCGATTTTAATGATATTTTGGAAGGTTGAGGTAAAAAGAAATTGGAAAAAGGTAAGGTAAATACCATTGTTGTATATCACACCCGGGCATCGCACTGTTAAGTACATGTGGGAAAACCAGCTTTTGTCAAATTCTACGAAGTTATTAATTCAGTACGGTACGTAGTTGCCCATTTGCCGAAATTGCATATTTAGTTACCCCTTATGGTTTCAAATAGTTCATGCACCTTCATTTAGATTTTTTTTAATCAGTGAGGATATATACTCATCGCTGTAACTTACTATTGCTCATTCACTTTTATTTGCGTATTGAATCAAAGGGTTAACAAGTTCACCTAACATTCACTCATACCGGACTATATTGTATAGTCTGATCTCTCAAGTATTTGGAGCCACGAATGCTTGTAATTTTCTGACTAAACCCTTTATTAATTGGTTTATATACCAAATTCAGTAAAACATTTTTTACATAAAACATGAGATATTGGATTTATTATTTTTTTCATTCTAAATCATATAGACTGCTTTATTTATTCTTAACGAAAATTAATAAATCTCCTCTCTTTCTTCAGATGTGGAAGTTGTGGACAAACCTGTCTAAGCATTGTGAGACTCCTGTAGCACAAGAAGCAACAGCAAAAATAGTAAGTATATCAATCAAAAAATTAAGCCGACATAAAGCAAAACTTTCAACTATTCGTCTAACCTCAATTTCATATTATTTATTCACAGGACAACTAGCAGAGGAGAGATATCAGAAGTCTGGCGACATATCAGTGACAGTGTGATTCCAATGAATATAATTAGAGTACTCCATAAATGTTTGCAATAGAAGAACAACCTATAGAGGCATGCAAACACATTTGACCCTCCGGTAGAGTTGTGTATGGCCCCCATATCTTGCAGGGCTTGAGGAAATAACTAAAAATTCCAAAGCGTAAGATTCCATAAGCGGTTTTGTTTGTAAAAGGGCACAAAACACGTCAGACATACTTAAAACAGCATTGGAAAATGAGGATTACGGGTCACTCACTACACCTGTGTTATATTTGGTTCATCAACTTTTGGTAGTACTATAGAAGAAATTCAGGAAAGGGTATAGTCATGATACACGATAAAATACTGTTATATATTTTAGCCAACTTTAATCTAGACCAGGGATGTCAAACTCGCGGCCCCAGAGAACTTCCAGTGCGGCCCTCGAACGCCTAACAATAATTCTAATAGTATTTTGGAAGTTTTTTTTATCTAAATGTAATAGATTTTTCAAACCTTTTAAAGTGAAATTGATTATTCACACAGAAAACAATTTACTGAAAGTAGTTTTGGAAAATCAATTTTTTTTGTTCACATTTTGACCCAATTAAGAATACACATCAAGCTAGTAAAAGAATACTTGAATAAAACACTTGAGTGAATAAATTAAACGCAAGTACATGAAGAAGGTGGCATTTTCGAAGAAAATAGGAGTTGCAATATTTCTGCATTTCAAAAAATTCTGAAGCAAAGAAGAATTCTGTTTAATTTGTCATATTTCCATCAGTACAATGAAAAAACACAATAAGCTCAGCAGTCAATATGACAAATTCGAAGAGCAACTTCGAACAGAAAGTTTCCATGTGTTTGTATATTAATATAATTATACAACGACTTAGTTATTAAAAATCAATAATAATTCAAGCAATCCTATGCCACGCAATGTGGCGCGAAATGTCTTGTCGAAAAAATCTGTCATTTGTTTTTTTACTGATCTATACATGAAATGATAAAAGTAACTTTTTTTGCATTACTGGAATTATTTAAGCATTCGCAAAGATCCAGATTAACCCATGATCATGTGACCTCGTGAGTTAGAGTTGGTACTATAAAATCATTTCAGCCTGGCCTTAGTATGCTGGTGACACATAAAAGATGCCAAACGTCAGGACAAATGTAATTAAAAAAACATTGAGTTTATACTGTAGTATTTTTGTCAATTTTAGGTCCATATATTTCGATTAAGTGTATGTATTATTCTTTCCTTATCCAAAGCTTGTTCAAAAATGATTTTGATGGTTGTACATAGAATTTTATGATCTTTTGTAAAAAATACAGTAACTTGCAATAACAGTGGAATGCAAATATTAATATGTAATTGCATTTGAAATTGAAGAAAATAATAAAACTTAATTCAACTGTTTAGTTGCATCACAATGTATGTCACAAACTGAAACTATCTTTCAAGTATACATTATCAAAAACTGTTTGCGGCCCTTTTTACAATTTTCAAAATGCAATGCGGCTCTCGAAAACCCATGTGTTTGACAACACTAATCTACTCTACACGATTCAAGCATTGCTTTGGGAAATAATATCACTTTAAATAAATTGAAAAAAATCTCGCTATATTAAATACAAAATCGTTGCTATCATAAAGGTAAACCAATTCACCCACTCGGAATATATTGGCCCTCACAAAGCAATGGGGGCAAAATTGGGAGTTTATGAGCTATGAACTTTTGTTCTTTTCTTTGTCTTGAACTTTCCATACTCCACAGCCCCTATTATTATTTTTTTAATTTTAATTACCATGTGATGGTCATATACATCTTTAACTTGTATTTTCTGTCATGGTGTATTATCTCAATGTGTCAAACTTTTAATTAGTGTGCATATTTTGCTTCCAGATGACATAAATGTATTGTCTTGTTTATTACCTCATCTTCGAGTATTGACAAGGAAAAGGTGCCATTACGTAAAAATTTTTTTAACTCTTTGTTATAATCAGAATTGACAATTAATAGAAATTATAAACAGCCAACAATCAATGAGAATTATATGCGAACCCCTCAGAATAAATTTTCTCCTAAAATCGGAGGAAGGCAAAACATATAGGTAGTTCCCATTCACACAAGTCTTTCAAGAGGACTTGCTCGAGCCAAACTAAATGAGCATTGTCAGGTGATCGGTAAGGCTGAAAGTTGAATTTAGCCCTGCAACCTCCTGCATCGAAGATAATATTAATTAGTGAGCTATGAGCTAAATTTAGACACAAACCTATCTACGGGGCATTATGTACCAGAAATGTTACCTACGATTAGCTGAATATGTAATATGTCTAAGAAATTCACCTACTAAAACAAGCAGTTCG